TTGAACAAGAAAGAAATGCAAAGCATTCTCAGAATGGTGCCCGTGCTCAGTGTCTGACCAAGTAAGTGGAGACCACTTGCTAGCCAACAGGAAAAATGAAGAGCATGAACCTCCAAAGTGGACAAAAGGGTCTAAATATAATTGTGTATAAATACACATACAATTTCACCCTTCATCCAACTGAGCTCCTCACCATTATGCCTGCCTGCAGTACACTCTGGATGCTGCGAGGGTGGGGGGAGGGTACCTTCAAAAGCCCACCTAAATAGCCATGCAAATATCACACACGTTCTCTGTTGGACTGAATTAAAAAAAAAAAAAAAGACATTAAACCAAGCCATTTTGTTCTTAAATCTTTTTTAATTTGTTTTAAACAAACATTATTTACTGTATTCAATATCATAAAATTAGGTTATATAAATTAAGAAAAATTGCAATTTTTACACACAAGCCTAAATTTGCAGAAAGCTGTGTTATTGAAAGTTTCTGATCGGATATACACAGCAGAGGACATATGCACCTTTACAAGGCCAGAAGCTGAATAGCTTAATAAAAGGATGAGATAGGCCTTGGCAACCAGGATACATGTACCTCTTCCACCAGATTGCAGCAGCAGCGTTGTAGGATGTAAATGTTTAATCGCAGCCATTTTGAAGCATCAGCCAATATTCACAGGATATGGAAAAATCACTGCAAATATCGATTCAGTATATAAAAAAAAAAAAAAAAAAAAAAAAAAAAAAAGGCTGCTTTGGCTTTTTTTGGAATACAGAGTTCTGAACATTTGCTTTGTAAACTCCATGTTACTCTGAAGTAAAGCGAACAGGTATGACAAAAAAACATTGCAACTATATCAAAATACATGTAAAAAAAAAAAATTGCCACAAATATATGAATTAAGAGTTCAAAAACTTCTGGTTTCAGGAAATGTCCACTTAAAGCATAAACTCCAGGTTAGCAGGACAAGGGCCCCATACCAGAGAAGCCTTAACGAATACTAAACCTTTAGCTAAGGTGGCAGCATTAGCCTCCTGATTTTGGTAGGAGCTTGTGATGTGGTCTGATCTGTACAAAGCCAAGCTGGTCCTTATCCGTATGCTTGACCTCATCTGTGTTTGACCTGATGCAGTAGATGGAGCACTAGAGGCAAAACATTAGCTGCCTTTTATGAGTTCAGGTACTTTTTTTAAAGCCCAATTGAGGAATAATTTTCTTTTTCACATCTCCCTTTGGATGAGGTAATAAGAGTAAGTGTGGCTGCAATACTCACTTTTAATCTGGAGCTGTCCTCCGCAGTACTTTATTTTCACCACTCGATATCTTCAGACATCCAGGTTGAATAACACCCAGAATTTATTATGTAATGATGCAGATAGCAACCACTCTCTATCATATTTGCTGGGCGAAGACCAAAGAGGCCCTAATCCCTGGCCCTCCGATGCTGGTTGTATGGCCCTTGGACCCCAGCACTTAGTAATGGGAGTGGCAGCATTGATTTCTAAAGTGGTAATAGCAGTGATCTATATTAGCCTCAGGTAATAAGACCCCAATCTCTCACTGTCCACTGTAGCATATTTCCAGTCTGACCATCAGAGTTCCTCTAGTATGTCTGCAGACTTTGACTCCATTACATATATAGAACATTATGTGTGGCCCTGTAATAATATCAGGGACCAGAGCTGAGACTCCCTACTAGTTGATGACCACTGACCCAGCCTGGAGAGAAAAAAAAAAAGACAAGTATAAAAAAAAAAAAAAAATAAGAGTATAGAATAATACTGGGAGAACTTTCCAGGGGTTGAAGGGGAACTCTGGGGGGTGGCGCTGCATTAAGATTTGCACTATAAAATGAGTGGTTGTCAACTTATGAGCTCAAGGGGGCCTCAAATGCAGCCCCTGACATCACCAAAAGACCATACGTAATTATTCAATATATGTAACGCTTCAGAGAATTGGCAGACCTAATAAAAAAGGAAAGGAGGGTCAGAGTGCAGAAATTCTACATTTTTAAGTGAGCATGTGCAGCAGAAGACAATATGAAACTGGGAACATGTTACATGAGGCTAGTAGAGATTGATGATATTACCATAATCACTGTTCCCACTACAGACTGCTGAGGTCCGAGGGCTGCCCATCATATACCAAGGGGTCGCAGGTTGGGTACCAGGGCTTTAAACCCTGGCCGTGTAAAACCACGAACAGTCTACTGGAAGTGGACTTTAAACCAGTTTTGCTTCAGTGTTGCACTACAATATGCAAATGCTCAACGTAAATAAAACTAAATTCTTAACAAAGACATTTTTTTTTCTTCTAAAGAGCCTAACACCCATTTCTGAGTCAAACTGAAATTGCACACCAAAAAGATTACGTTAGAAATAATAAAGGTACGAAGGGAAATGAAAAGGGATATCTTGGACATCCATTTGTTTAAACTGAAAAGAACCAAGCATTCATTTACTGATGTAATAAAAAAAAAACAAAAACAAAAAAAAAAAAAAAAAAAAATTCACAAATTCTAGAAAAATATGTGTTTATAGCTTATGAATGAAATGAACTGCATACCTTAAAAAAGGTAAGCACAAGACTGCTTCACTTACACAGCCTGCTTCCTCCAATATTGTAGTTCTTGCCCCCAGATTCAAGGCCTTGGATGTTCAGGTGCCGCTTGGTAACAAATGAGTTGCCAGGAAGTTCCAGGACCTCCATAAGCTCTTTAACCCCCTTAGCAAGTTATAAAGTTAAAGGGCTTTGTTATAATAACATGGATGGAAAGTGGTTCTTAAAACTGTAGGTTTACAATCACTTTTATTTCTAAAAAATTAACACGTGACACTTCCCTGCTCTGTGCAATAGTTTTGCACAGAGCAGCCCCGTTCCCCCTCTTCTCAGGTCCCCCGCTGGCACTCCTAGCTCCTCCCCCTGCTGAGGGCCCCCACAGCAAGCTGCTCGATATAGGCACTCGTGAGGGCTCGCTCCCAAGCCGCACTCAGTGTCCATCGACACACAGCACAGCTCTGCCCTGCCCACTGGCTGTGACTGACAGCAGCAGGAGTCTATGGCTCCCACTGGTGTCTCTGAGCCTATGAGGAAGGAGAGATTGGAGAGAGCCGCTGCTCTCTTGCACAGCTTCTGGATTGACATCAGGCGCAGATAAGTATAAGGGCGAGCGCAGGGGAGACCTGCACACAGAAGGTTTTCTATCTTAATGCAGAAAATGCTTTAAAAAAAGGTAAAAAAAACCTTCTAGCTTTACAACCACTAACATATTTTAAAGGTTAAGTTTACCATTATGAAAAAAATAAATGAATGCACATATTTGCAGGAAAAAATGCATTTATATTATTTCTTGTCACGGGAGCCAACAAAGCACGGCACCTGTGATCAGCGGATCGTGGGTGCAATGTCAGGCACCTGCAAACACTTCCTACAGCTCTCTGTCCATACCGCTGGATGGACTGTAAATTGAAGAGCTGGAGGAAGTGTCAATGTAATAATAATAATAACCAATGTAATAATTAGCAGTCCTGTACAGCCGCTCCAGTTATAAATGTGACAAAGTCTGTGGGGGAGAAGAACCCCACGCATTGTCCCAGTGAGGGAGCTCAGGAACATGTTACACCATTATTGCAGGAGTAACATGTAGCATGTTCCTAAAGGTGAACCTCCTAGCGTTTAAACCTAATTGTGGAATTTCATAAAGAGACATGTGCCCACGCAAGGCAAAGTGACAGTGTCTGTCCACAGCTCCAATACTCACTTTGCATGCACTCCCTTGTTAATTTCTTTGTTACAGCCAGCACTGAAATCTGTGCTGTAGCTAGTCTGAGAAGCAGCGACATCATTTGGTCATGTGACAACGATTGGGCCTAGAAATTGTCTACAAGACAGAGCATCGTCACATGGCCAAGTGACATAAGGGCTTCCCTAAACCCAGAAGCACAAGGTGGTGTCACAAACTACAACGAAGAAAGCAGCATGGAGGGAGTGCTTGCATGGTACATACAATTGGGTCGATGAGCCTTTACAGAGACAGTCACTTTGCCCTGCGTAGGGAAGTTTATCATAGCCTCTGAAGAAACCTGCACAGAGAGAAACAACAAGGCCTGCCACTTCAGACCTCTCCTCTTAATACTAGCTGCATGGCCGCCATGCCGATCCACTTCAATGCCTAGTCCCTGACGCAGAACAACAATACAAGCAGTAAAGCCTTATCTGCATAATCTTTCCAAATCAGTGACTCAAGCACTGAAGCCACTGGATCTGCAAGACAGTCAACAATGGCAGCCACAGTGCATCTGGGAGTGAAACCACAGCTTCATGTCCCAACTAGCACCAGAACAGATGTGAAACCCTGGTGTACAATAGAGAGGTCTAGATTTCAGCTTCAATACAGTGTTCTTAGTCAACAATCGGGATGTGAACAGCTCTGCTAGCCGATTAGGTGCTTGCATATAATTGCTGAATGGCTTAGATCTTGGCAGAGCTCAGTGTGAATGGATAGTGAGGCTTCTGGGTTATAGCAGATTAGTGCAGCCTTAGCATATTGTGTTTCTTGGATCAGGCGGCTCTCAAAAAAAAATGATTCATGAAGCAGTATAGGTACTTACAGGAAATACAAAGTGCCTGAAAGTAGTTAAGAGATGTTTTGTAAAAATTCTCATAATAGGACAGGTTGATTACTTAATAGACATAAATGCGAAGAGCAGGGCAGTAGAAGACAGAAGCACCGCCTTCATGTTCCACAGTGGTTATAAAGAACTGTAAGGTAAAGCACATCACATGTTCACCTGGGACCCATCACACGCCTGTACATCTCCTTCACTGATGGGGAAACCTTATCCTTATGTACAGCCTGCCCTATGTAAAGAAAATGCAAAAAAGGACACAAAAAGCAAAAAATTGGCCATGTTGATAATACGCAAGGCATTTGTCCAATATCCCTTCAACAAAGATGAGTGAAATCCTGCATAAGGCGCTCTTTCTGAGCCGCTATTAGCCATTCAGGTGAAGCGTGGGCAGTGGACTGGGGGGTTGGGCATATTGAAGACTCGCCTCCTCTCTTCATCATCAAAGTCATCACTGTCATCAGGGTCGTAGTCTTCTAGGACGCAATCATTGCAGCTCTCTCTTTCATGCTGTAAACCAGAAAAGAGCACTTTAGGTCTTATGCACCCAAAATGACCAAATGCTAGTCTTCAATGACAACTCAATGCAATAATAATCCCAATGCAGAGTTTGGTATGCAGTGTCAACGGGATGTATATGGCAACCTGTATAGCTCTCTGTAAGCTTACTGGGAAACACATGAACTTGGCACCTGTTACGGACTGAAACTCCTAGTCATTGAGGTTTGCCCAGATAAACACAGAAAAAAAAGCAACCCTACAGAAAGGTTCCTAAATGAATGGAAAGGGTGCCAATATTCAGTCATTATATGCAAGCCATTAGAGCAGGTGGTGTTAACGGTAAGAACATCTATAACTTGTACAATACCCCTGGAGGATAGATTGTATAATAGAAAGTTATCACGACATTGAAAGGCTAAGTTGTGCTTAGGTGTAAAATATATAGACACAGCGCCAATATATTATATATAAAGCTGCAAACCTAAACAAAGAAAAGGTAAGTGACAAAAAATATATAAAAGGAATACGCTAAATACCAAAATCACATGAAAATGCAGATAAATACATAAATAAAAAAAATGTATAAATGTCCGTAATTCATAAGTCCAAACACCAAAAATGAGTGATTAAAAAAATCTCTTAAACAAGAAAAAACACCGTGTAGCAAAATCCACCAACGAATGAAATGGGTAAACTCACCAGAGCTATTTGCTGATCAAATTATAAATCAGCAAAAATAGCAATTGCTCTGGGAGAGATGATCTGTTGGAGTATCCAGGAGCAATAGACTGCAATCAGCCAAATCAGCACACATGGAACAGCTTTAACTGCAAGTGGTCATCATGCCTTCGTAACTTTGGAAATGCTCGGGGAATCAAAGAAGAGTATCATGGTGCAGTATATTAAAAGAAGGATAATTTTTATTGTAGCCTAAAATATGCACTCACATGAAAAGGTGTCCAACCGACACCAGCAATAACAGTCTCAAAAAGTTAAAGCAGGGACAAGCCTCGCTCACCGCGATCACAGCCGACAGTCTCGAGGAGCGTCCTGACGTCCCATCCACTAAGCCCCGCCCTATGCGTTTCATCATCCGACGGCTTCAAGGGGCGAATGACGAAACGCGTAGGGAGGGGCTTAGTGCATGGGACGTCAGGACGCTCCTCGAGACTGTCGGCTGCGATCGCAGTGAGCGAGGCTCGTCCCTGCTTTAGCTTTTTGAGACTGATATTGCTGTTATTGCTGGTGTCGGTTGGACACCTTTCTTGTGAGTGCATATTTTAGGCTACAATAAAAATTATCCTTCTTTTAATATACTGCACCATGATACTCTTCTTTGATTCCCCAAGCATTTCCAAAGTTATGAAGGTATGAGGACCACTTGCAGTTAAAGCTGTTCCATGTGTGCTGATTTGGCTGATTGCAGTCTATTGCTCCTGGATACTCCAACAGATCATCGCTCCCAGAGCAAGTGCTATTTTTGCTGATTTATAATTTGATCAACAAATAGCTCTGGTGAGTTTACCCATTTCATTCGGTGGTGGATTTTGCTACACGTTTTTTTTTTCTTGTTTAAGAGATTTTTTAATCACTTATTTTGGTGTTTGGACTTGTATATATGAATTACGGACATTTATAAATATATTTTTTTATATTATTTATGCATTTATCTGCATTTTCATGTGATTTGGTATTTAGCGCATTCCTTTATATATTTTAAGTTGTGCTTAAACTGTTGCAAATGTGTTTTCACATTTCAGATGCTGTAAAAAGAATTTATCTTGTCCAATGCAGCCTGCATAGTTATGGCACAAGGTCAATCATCAGAAACTCAGGAGGTGGGAGACAGCGAAAATAAGTAATTACTGAACACCAATGTATGATTTAGTTTGCTCCCCAGTGGTCACTAGCAGGGCTGGAGTCAACTTCCCCGCCTGTCCACTGCCGCAAGGCGGCCAACTTCCCCGCCTGTCCACTGCCGCAAGGCGGCCAACTTCCCCGCCTGTCCACTGCCGCAAGGCGGCCAACTTCCCCGCCTGTCCACTGCCGCAAGGCGGCCAACTTCCCCGCCTGTCCACTGCCGCAAGGCGGCCAACTTCCCCGCCTGTCCACTGCCGCAAGGCGGCCAACTTCCCCGCCTGTCCACTGCCGCAAGGCGGCCAACTTCCCCGCCTGTCCACTGCCGCAAGGCGGCCAACTTCCCCGCCTGTCCACTGCCGCAAGGCGGCCAACTTCCCCGCCTGTCCACTGCCGCAAGGCGGCCAACTTCCCCGCCTGTCCACTGCCGCAAGGCGGCCAACTTCCCCGCCTGTCCACTGCCGCACGGCCAACTGCCTGCAACTGCCGCGGCCCAACTTCCCCGCCTGTCCACTGCCGCAAGGCGGCCAACTTCCCCGCCTGTCCACTGCCGCAAGGCGGCCAACTTCCCCGCCTGTCCACTGCCGCAAGGCGGCCAACTTCCCCGCCTGTCCACTGCCGCAAGGCGGCCAACTTCCCCGCCTGTCCACTGCCGCAAGGCGGCCAACTTCCCCGCCTGTCCACTGCCGCAAGGCGGCCAACTTCCCCCCGCCTGTCCACTGCCGCACTGCCGCAGGCGGCCAACTTCCCCGCCTGTCCACTGCCGCAAGGCGGCCAACTTCCCCGCCTGTCCACTGCCGCAAGGCGGCCAATTTCCCCGCTTGTCCACTGGCGCAAGGCAGCCAACTTCCCCGCTTGTCCACTGCCGCAAGGTGGCCAATTTTACTATTCTCCACTGCTACTAGGGGGCCAACCTAATAACTGACTACAGCCATAAAAGGGTCAATTTTACCACTGACCACTGCTGTAGGCCCCACTTCCCTTATGTTCCCAAGGTATTCTCCAGACACTCAACAGAGGAAGCCACATTTATAATTTAAAATGTTTTCAACATTTCCAACTACAACTATCTTTTATCTACATTTCGATTAAATCAGAAAAACTCAAAATGTTCAACATACTTTTACTGTAGCAATGTTAGACACTCGAAACGTAGGACATTTCATATGGAAACGAGGAATGGTTACATTGAAAACCTCGCTCTTCTTGTCCAGCCGGTGGAATGTGTAATAACCCTCCATATAGCCAGAGGTTGTTGAGAATGTTGTGCAGCTTGTATACTCGTATGTCTGACCTGATCTCAGAATGGGGTAATCTCCTGCAGGTACAAATCAAAGGCATTAGATTAACTTATTGCATAAATAGAACAAAATCCTGGAAAACTGAACTCCAGGCAAAACGCTAAATACAAATAAATTAATGGTTTTAACTGCCAATATATTTATAACTCTGTCTGGCCACTTTTGTGATTTATACAAATACCACAATGATGAGATTTTCTATGTCAAGAGGTAAGGGATTCAGAGGGGGCACCTCCCCACTTGCGGCCTGCTAATTAGGCAATGAAGGAGCAGCAGCAAACTGATAGATTTTGAACACTGCCATTCTACATGGTCTTCCTATCAAAAACTGCAATGCAGAAAAGGCTGAATGGCTCTAAGTGCTATTCCTCCCTACTGGTCTGAGCATAGCTTTGCAGGAATGAGAGGGATGATATACATACAGACTGAGGTACATATGCTAGTTGTATGTAACAAGATTTTTGCACTCACTGTAAAATCCTTATTTTCAAGTCCATTAAAGGTTATACTGCTGCCTACAAGTTGACTGACCACTGGAAAAAAAATGAAAAAAAGTAGGCCAGCCCAGGACCCGCTCCTACTACAAGCATGATGTACCAAAAGCTTGACCATAAGGAGTGTGACCTGTGTCCCTCACTGAACTCCAAGAAAGGCACTTTATGGCGAGTACAAAATTTCTATTTTCTTTCATCTATTGAAGGACATGAAAAGTCATTAACCTTTGGGACATCCAAAAGCAGTCAAACTGATGGGTCAGCAAATCAGCAAGTAGACTCCAACAGCACCCTTATGGGGCCCATCCAGGATGTCAAAAAAGGAATCAATCTTCCTGAAAGAATCAGTGGCTGAAAGATCCTCATTGCCAAATCACATCCAGACAATGGAGGGAAATTTCCTTTTGGAGAACTGCAGCCGGACAGAGGGATGGAAGAATGAAGAGGGATGGGAGAGGTGAAAAGCAGAAATCACTTTAGGCAAAAAGGAAGTCCTGGGCTAGTTAACGAAACCAGACGTTCAGCATGACAGTCAAGCAACTGATTTCACAAAGATAGCCTCCATGTTGATTCCAAGAAATGGTTTCTTTAAACCTAGAAGAAAGATGTGGGGCTGCAGCCCCCAACCACCTCCTCCAGGATAGAAGCATAGACATGCTGCCACTACCCCCTGCCTTTACTGCCCTTGTGTAATATGTACAATAAAGCAGAGCATGCCAAATGAATCAATCAATGCAGTGACAAGTCTTCGCAACAGAAACGGAGATGTGGAAACAGCACAGAACTCAGGGACACTGCCATGCATTCTGTGTTTGGCCATGTGATCTCATGTAACTTAATACAGCTTATGCATAGAAGGTACCCATACAGCAGGTATTGTTGCTTTTCCTTTCATGGGGACAGCACAGGATCTTTTTAACTGTAACACTATAGGGGAGGTTTACTAAAACTGATGCACAAAACCTGGTAGAGGTGTGCATGGTAACACACACACACACACACACACACACACACACTTTTTCGCTCCAGAAGACGCACCTGACCACAAGACGCATCTAGGTTTTAGAGGAGGAAAACAAGAAAAAACACATTCTAAACCAATGGACTGCAGACACAGTACAGGGGATGACCAGAGACTGCGGACACAGTACAGGAGATGACCAGAGACTGCGGACACAGTACAGGAGATGACCAGAGACTGCGGACACAGTACAGGGGATGACCAGAGACTGCGGACACAGTACAGGAGATGACCAGAGACTGCGGACACAGTACAGGCGATGACCAGAGACTGCGGACACAGTACAGGCGATGACCAGAGACTGCGGACACAGTACAGGCGATGACCAGAGACTGCGGACACAGTACAGGCGATGACCAGAGACTGCGGACACAGTACAGGCGATGACCAGAGACTGCGGACACAGTACAGGCGATGACCAGAGACTGCGGACACAGTACAGGCGATGACCAGAGACTGCGGACACAGTACAGGCGATGACCAGAGACTGCGGACACAGTACAGGCGATGACCAGAGACTGCGGACACAGTACAGGCGATGACCAGAGACTGCGGACACAGTACAGGCGATGACCAGAGACTGCGGACACAGTACAGGCGATGACCAGAGACTGCGGACACAGTACAGGCGATGACCAGAGACTGCGGACACAGTACAGGCGATGACCAGAGACTGCGGACACAGTACAGGCGATGACCAGAGACTGCGGACACAGTACAGGCGATGACCAGAGACTGCGGACACAGTACAGGCGATGACCAGAGACTGCGGACACAGTACAGGCGATGACCAGAGACTGCGGACACAGTACAGGCGATGACCAGAGACTGCGGACACAGTACAGGAGATGACCAGAGACTGCGGACATAGTACAGATGACCAGAGACTGCGGACACAGTACAGGCGATGACCAGAGACTGCGGACACAGTACAGGCGATGACCAGAGACTGCGGCGATAGTACAGGAGATGACCAGAGACTGCGGACCTTTGGGGACGGGGAGGGCAAGTACCCGAATTTGAGAGGTACCCGCCCCCACTTCCGCTGCAATCGCCTTTCTCCCCGTAGTCTTCTGGGATACAGGACAGGTCCCAGAAGACTACGGGGCCATTCATAAAGCGCAGCGCTTCTCACACATGCGCAGCTATCACAGCCGGGTACCCACAATAAAGATGCCAGCGCCAAGGAGAAAAGGCGGCTGGTGAGGACACTGGTGGACCAAGGAACAGGTAGGATTGAGGAGCAGGTTCTGCTGCACAGAACTGAGCGGACAGACCGGTATTCTAACGCGGCGGTGATGACGGGGGGAATACTGGGCCGGCCGCTTCATACTTGCTGCATAAGCCATACAGACATATCCCCCCTGCATTTTTTTGGGGAAAAAAGTGCGTCTTATGGAGCGAAAAATACGGTGTGTGTATATATATATATTTTAATTAAAAAAAAATTTGGTATAAGCCTGAACTCTAATATAAACACAGGACAGGTGTGGACAAATTATGCAAATTTCAGACCCTCACCTACTACTCCGGGGCCTTGCACCTCTTCCACGTGCCCTTTGGCATTGGTTATTCTCCAGTAGCGGCTATCCAACTGACATGCCTTCTCTGGTAAAGCATCTTTGGCCATTTGCAATCTGGAGGTGAAGAGAAAAGGCAGATAATATTGTCTGGCAGGTTAAATATTTACAGACAAGCACATATTGTTTATCATGTCGACAGCATAATTTGCATCCTTCTGTACAAATGTTAAAGTACAGGGAAATCCCATGAATGACATTTAGTTTTCTCAAGCACTAGTACGTATCACCATCTTCACCTTTCTTTTATACTTTGTTGTCAAGGCTGCTGATCTCCTGTGGCCACTTCCTGTCTACAGCATTTAACAGGACAGGTCTGATGGTGACAACAGAGGACCATTCCAGTGCAATGCATGTTGGCACAGACACTTCAGTGGGAGGGAGTGTGACCAGGCATTGCCAGGAACTCAGTAACACAGCCAACAGATTTATATTAAAGAATGTATGTACCATTACCAACTAATAACGATTTACTAATACCAATTACTAATAACCTCCGTGGTCCTTTTTGCCTGGATGAACCATGACTAGCAGCTTGCAGTCCTAGTTAAAGGACCTCCCAGGAGACAACCAGAACTGAGAGTGGTTTGATTTTTAACTTGAGGCAGAATAAAGAACTAAAAGGAGGCAGCTCATTATGATCGCAAAGCCCAACTCCAGCTTTGTAGGGAAAAGAAAATTATTCATTGCCCTTCAAAAGTAAAAAGAAGACACCTATGATGAAATATCATATCTCAGACTTTGAACCCTGCATGCCCAATGGATCAATCAACCCAACAGAAAAGAATGTTGTGAGGAAGTGGCAGTGTCTGCAGCATTCAGGATCTCCTACCACAAAGGACGAAAAAAGGAGGAAGAGACTTGTGATGTTACAGGACTGGACAGATTTTTATTATTATAGGGCTAACAGGCGGAGGGGGGAATGTGCCCAACCAGGGGTTGGCCCTCAAGCATTAAACCCAAAATCAAGCATTTATTATACTGTAGTTTACAGTTGCATTCATTTTCCTTTCTGGGTCCGCTTTCCTTTATTTTCAGCTGGTGATCCTGCCAGTACGTTTATTTTTCAACAGAACTAGCCGTCCTGCAGATGTAGCAGTAAAAAGGTTGAGACAAACCATTTAACACTGGCAAGGCTGCATACAATAGCCAGTTTTTAATCATGTAAGTAAAACCTTTATTCCAAAAGGAAATACACTGTTGCTGTAACTGCTTAAAAAGCCTGAGATAGCGTTCGCCTTCAATTTGTTAGTGTATTTAAATCTGTGAATCTACCACCACCCACCCCACAGATGGACAATGCTGCCATCCAAAAGGTGTCTCTGTTGCCCTTTTCTTTCAGATTGTAGGCACTCTAATACTGGAGGTGTTCGTGGCCAGATCACCTGTGAAAACAGAGCGGTAAAAATGCCTAAAAAAAAAAAAACGAATGCAGCTACCACATATGAGGATTGGTAGGTTGCAATAGAATATATTTTTAGCTTAATACCACTTTAACACAATCATATTACCTGTGCTTTTTTTAAATGATCAGCGCGGTTCACACTTACTTGATTCTGTAGGTGAAGAAGAAGTGCGGTGGGTGGATAGAGCTCAGCTCAGGGAGGAAGGAAGTGGAGACTGACACTGAGATCTCATCAGTAGTGGCCACACAGTCCTTGTCATGTTCATACCTGGGAGGAAAAAAAAAATATATGTTAAAAGCACCCCATACACAAGGACAGGCTCCCAAGTACAGGAGTCTTTGGGGTCGATTTAAACCTGGAGAGTTCAAAATCTGGTGCAGTTCTACATAGAAACCAATCAGCTTCCAGGTTTTATTGTCAAAACCCAACTGAACAAACTGAAGTTAGCAGCTGATTGGCTGCCATGCACAGCTGCACCAGATTCTGAGTGCTCCAGTTTTAGTAATCCCCCCAGTTTAAATATTCCAAGCACAATATGCAGTAATGGTAACCAGACACAAAATCACCCTGCTTCTTCCAAAAAACCATATATGTGTGTGTCTGTATATATATATATATATATTATACATACACACACACACAGACAGCAAGTGGCAGCACAACTCTACCCAAAACAGAGTTCGCACCTTATGAAGGCCTCTAAAATTTGCAATGTATACCAATATTCCACTATAAATTAAGGGGCTCTGGATTGCCAGCATTCCCATCTGATCCCACATGATTGAATACGGTAAGATATGCATTGTGTCCATGCTACCTGAAGATCTGGTCCCTGATGATGGGGTAGTCACATGACACCACACGCTCCACATAGGTGATGAACCACTGCGAGAAGGAGGTACCTGATATGGAGAAAATAGGCAAGATTGGCAATTAGTCTCATAAGCCTAATAAAAAGCCGACAATGCCTAATACTCTCCTCAACTCACAACTAAAAGGGAAACCATAATGGTTTAAAGTCAAATTTTTTTGCTCTTTTCATAAATACATGTGCACAACTATACAAGAAAGTGGAACATGTTTAACCCCTTTACGCCGGCCGCACACAAATGTGTGGTCTCCCGGCGTCTGGGCCTAGACGCCGAGCGGCCGCACATTTGCGTTCAGGTAAGAAAAAACATATGTGCTGAGAGCGCGCCCTGCGTGCTCCCAGCAGACATGTCCGGTACTCACGGTAAGATCCCGGTCTGCTCTTTCGATCGGGACCTTTTCCGATCATGTCATCGCCGTGACGACGCGTCACGGCGGTCACATGATCCCTAAACCCCTCCCGGCTTCTGAATCTCTTAAAGGGCTGGGAGGCGCCGGCGGGAAGGGGTTAAAGCTGACAAAGAATACAAGAAATAGAAAAAAAACCCCAAAAAATAGAAATACTCGCAGGAACTCTGCTCCGCCACTAGCTCTCTTCCAAGTTCAATGAAAATTCAAACAACTTCCTGTAAGCCCAGGGTATCATGGACACACCTTCTGGGGGATCATTACCACCTTGGTCTGGGATTACAGTAAAACAGGGAATAGCTCTTTGCAGAATTTAAGGCCAGAAAAAACCCAAGGATGTCACATGACCAGCAAGACAACTGCTCAATTTAAGGCACGTATAAGAGGATTTTTTTTTAACCGCTTGCCAGCCACCCTATAGTAGAAATACTGCTACAGGGTGGCAAGGCTGTGCAAAATCCCTACCCACAATGCCATTGGCGGCTAGGGATATCAATCACCGAGTCATGCCCAGAGATTCCCCGCCGGCACCCGGCGATCACAGTCTAAAGCTGACAAGGAAGAGACCTGTGTGTAAACAACACAGGTCTCTCTCCTGCCAGCAAGGACATGCGGCTTTGTATTTCTCTGCACAGCAGAACAATACAAAGGAGCACGTCTCCTTAGTAAAACACACACAGCACACAGTTAACCTTTTGATCGCCCAAGAGTTAACCCCTTCCTGCCCAGTGTCATTAGTAAAGTGTCACTGCTTTTTATTAGCACTGATTACTGAGTCGTTGATCGCCACCATTTCTAGTATATAAAAAAAAAAATATTAAAAAATTCCAGTATATATACACCGCCATTTGTAGTCGCTATAACTTTCATGTAAACCAATTAATTTACACGTATGGGGATTTTCTTTTAGCAATGACGTGCAGCAGAATACATTTTTGGCCTAAATTTATTACGAAATTTGCTTTTTAAAAATTTTTACTGGATATGTTTTATAGCAAAAAGTAAAAAATATTTATTTTTTTTCAAAATTGTCAGTCTTTTTTTTGTTTATAAGCTCTATTTGTTGGGGGAAAAAGGACACACATTCAATCTATGCACAGCGTTGCATGACCGTGCAATTGCCAGTTAAAGTAACGCAGCGCCGTATCGCAAAAAAGGCCTGATCAGGAAGGGAGGTAAATCCTCTGGAGGGCAAGTGGTTAAAATAATGGTTGGGGGGGGGGGGGGGGCTTTGGGTTAGCAAAGGAGCTGCACAGTAGAAATAGGAGACATGGCTGTTTTACTGAAACTTTGGACCAAGCTGTCCAATAAGGGAACAACACCAGTTACAACCCTCATGACCCTATCCCAGTGGCAGGAGGACAAACATTCATAAGTATCTTGCTGAAAGAAATTAGAATCCGACTGCTGGCTATTACAAAAGGATTGTGAGGCACTCTTCAAATAAGTATAGAACTGAAATACACATTGGCCAAGTCTGGTCTTAAAAGCACCCGTTGTACAATTTAAAGTACCCCTCTAAATTAGAACCAGAAACATCATATCTCACCCGTGATGAACATGTCCAGGGCAGCTGGATTATGTGCCGTCTGGTCCTAAAATACAGAACACAAGAACTTACACTTCAGATTCAATGACATTTGACCACATTCATTTTTTTTACTTGGTTGTCCCTTGCACATTTGAACTGTATTTGCAGATTGAGCATTAGTATAATTGACTATTTCACTTGACAATGACTTATAAATCAACCATATACTTCTCATATCAGCTGAGGACTCTAGTGGCAACATAACTTCAGAACACACAACTCTTCCCTAAACACTACAGCCATGACAAAAATAAAATGATGGCATCATTCCCCCAATACAGTCTCCATAATGTAGACAAATAACAGCTGGGGAAACAACATAGGAAAATCTCACCCCTCCATAGAAAACTTGTTTGCATTTTATATTCACATCAGTCCCTGTGGAACCCTCAAGGGGCGTACAATCTAAGGTTCCTAACTCACATTCATACATACACATACTAGGGACAATTTAGACAGGATCCAATTAACCGGCCAGCATGTCTTTGGAGTGTGGGAGGAAACCAGAGTACCCAGAGGAAACCCACGAAGGCAAAGGGAGAACATGCAAACTCCAGGCAGGTGGTGCCGTGGTTGGAATTCAAACCAATGACCCTAGTACTGCCAGGCAGAAGTGCTACCCATTTGGCCACTGTGCTGCCTGGTTTGAGTACTACCATATGCCTGTGAAGAGAAACTTGATTAACCCTGTTCTAGGTCTCAAGTTTTTTTTTTTTTAGTAACAGTTTTTCTACTTTTTGATTATGTCCCCTGCCTCATCAATCAAGTCATTACTTACCTGATATCAAATGGATAGTCTATTTTAAACAACCATTTTTGGTAGATAAGAAAGACTATAGGGAATCCAATCCCTCAAAAAGCCCCTGATCTTTTTATACCACCTACTGTGTTAAATTGGTCACTTATTGCAGCACCAAATCCAGGGTCCTTGGTCATAAGAGCACTAATGGTCAATTAATGTGTCTGCTAAAATACAATTTCTAAGTGATAATGGCACTCAGGTGACACCCCATCATACTGTGATCATCATGCGCACAAACTTAGACTGAAGGAGCAGGGTCTTCCAGAGGGTATGAGTCTGCTTTAAATCACCTAAACCTTTACAAACCCATAGGGTCTCTGGCGACCTAACTTAATACCCTTACGCCCAAAACTGGCATTAGGCGAGGCAAAAATGTCCAGTTGGTAGAACTTAAGAGAACGTGTGAACAGAAAACCAGGCAGTCTTAAAATCTTGGAAACAGTTGCCTGGTGCAGAAAAAACCAAGAGGCTCTTACAGACCAAGTGAAGTGAGCTTCAACAGGAGGGGATCCCAAGTCTGGAGACCATAAACCTAAACAAATGGTGCATCCGAGCCACCTAAAGATGGTGGAACAAGAAGCCAGACCATGAAGTCCTGAGAAACAGTCCACCCCTGAAGTATAGGGGAGAAAAAAAAAAAAAACAGTGTTGCCTGATGGGAGAACATGGGTTTGGTTAAGTAAAAGTTCTATTTTTTATGTACCCTATATGTAAATGAGCACTTAAACCCTGAAGTGCGGGAGCCTCCACAATGCAAAGGAGGATTTTTACTTTCCCCAGAGATGGGCTTTACATCTAAATCTTTTAAGGTTTCCTCAATGGATAAGAAAAACTGAAAGATCACTTGAATAAGTTGACCCTTTACTGTGGGAGCAATAAAGAGAAATACATTTTTGCAGTTTTCCCATGGACTGTAAATGTGAGTGTAGTGACACACTACCTTCTTGTGCTAAATGCTTTCAAACACTCCATGTTCTAGATTGATGGGTTCACCACAGTTGAAGGAATTATTGGGTATTACCATCTGCATTTACAGCACATATTGCTCAAGTCTAAAATAACCCACAGCAAGCACATTAACATACGAAGTAAAAAAGTCCATAATCGCAAGTGCTGATGTAACCTAAATGCAGAAGGTACTGTAAAACTAACAAAATGGCAATGGAACTGCCAGCAATGGTCTTCAGAAACTATTATACGTTAATTCACGTTACCTCTCTAACCTCCAATAATATATTTGCATTCAAATCATGCAAAATGATCCTTACCGGACACTGATAGAAGATTTCATTGCGATTTCGTCCTTCCGCATCTGCCAGTGCCAAGTACTGGCTGAGACCAGTGTGGATACAGAAGGTGATAGGCAAGCACTGGTTGAGCCCTGTCCTGCGCTGAAATCCGCCTGCTGCCGTGTCAATGTCCAGTAAGTCCTCCGACCGGTAATGATTTGACAGAGCCATGCTGCCCATTAGCCTAGAAAAGAAACATGGAACATGGCGTGAGCAACAAAAAAACAACCAGCACAGGTTAGAGAACATTTCTTGTGTAATATATTAGTCGATGAACTGCTCAAGAAATCCAGGACACATCGAACAAGCTAAAATCCAAAAGTGCACTCAATCTCTCCTTAACGCAGAGTTTCACCTAAAAATAAATAAATAAATAAAAGCAGCTACAAAAACTGTAGCTGATGACTTAAAATACAGCAACTTTACCTGTCCCTCGGTCCAGCAGTGTCCTCACCACCGCTTGTTTCACCGGCCATCTTCTCTCCCTGGTGCCGGCATCTTCAGTGTGGGCACCCGGCTGTGACAGCTTGCGGCTTCACAGCCAGGTGCCCACTGCGCATGCGCGAGGAGTGCTGCACTTTGTGAATGGCCCAGTAATCATCTTGGACCTGTCATGTGTCCCAGAAGACTATGGGGAGGGAGGAGGACAATATCCACTTCTGATCGCCTAGGCGATTACAGCAGATGTGGGAGCGGGTGCCAATCCTTAATGGGGAGCAGGGGACAAAACATTAAAGCGGAACTTCCCCTTTTGGGTGGAGCTCCGCTTTAATTGCAGGTACTATATATTTTGTCTGCGTGGTACTACAGCCGCTAATCACTTCAATCTGTATGGGCAAGGCTGCAGTAACCTCAGAAGAAGGTAAAGCTGGAACATGCTGCATTATTGCAGTACTGGCTTCATAGCCAATCTGAACATGGCAGGGTGTAAAAGCTAGAGTCGGCATAGCAAGAGTAGTTACCCACCACAAGGTCCCTACCACAGATCCAACTTTTGCCTTTCTCCGGTTAAAGACCCTTTAACTACCTACCTTGAAGACACAAGTGGGCTTGGAAAAAAAAAAAAAAAAAAAAAAAAAAAGGATTGCCCTGGCACAGCCATAAATAAGTAAAGCATTCTCAAATGCCATGCATACCAACATTAGGTGAAGCTTTTTGCCTTCTTCCTGATTAATTCAAAAGCACTTGATGCTCTATCAGGAAACTGCTGTCAAGACTTGGTCTCCATTACTCACCCAGGCACCACAAGCTTCTGTCCATTGTGAATTCGCAGCGAGCAGCGATAATCATCAGGAAGTTTACAGCCCACCCTTTCTTCAACTGCATCAAGATCTTCCTCCTGAACCCCAGCTGCCAAAGCATCGCAAGAAGGTCAACAAAAGACAAGATAAATTACAAATCAATTCATCAGATATTTGCATTAAGGTGACAGTTGCCCAAGAGAATAGAAATGTTGGTTTAGGCTCCTGAGACTCAATTCTCACCCTCTCTATGCTCCAGCATTGCCCTCCAAGTTCACATCTGTGGTCCAGAAGTGGTTATCTTCTGGGCCAAATGGAACTCACTTCCTCTGATCACAGAGCATCAAATACATGCCTATTGGGGGTGCTTCATCAAGCTGCCTTGAAATAGCAGAATGCTTCAGAGAACTAGACCACAGGATTACGTGGCGCTGTTCTCTGCAGAATTCAGGACTCTTTCACCGAGACAGAAAAGAAGAAAGAAGATACCCCATGTATCAAGTTAACTGTGCTGTAAGCTGCCTAAAGACTTAAACCTATTCCTGTGAACTCGGGGTACCAATGACCTGCACCTTGTGAGTGCGTTACCAAGCTGCCCTGGACACAAAGTGCAATGCTCCAAAGAAGTGCTGCATTTTGTGTTCATTCTTTGTAGCATTTAGAATTGCACATCGCAAGAGGATAGAATATGAGGCAAAGAAGTTTCCGTGTAGTACCACGAAAGGAAGAGAAAAAAAAAAAAAAAAAAAAAAAAAAAAAAAAAAAGGGACAAAACCCTTAAAGTGGCGCAGGCTGCCCTCATTCCATCTAGTCCCCCAAAGCCCTTTCTCAAAGGTGAAGACATCATCAAGTACATTGCAGGACCAATAGTCAACTCAAAGCATCTGAGGGAAGAGGAAGGAACAAGATAATTATTTGTTAATTCTAGGGGTAATGCTTAACACTTGCACTGAAGAAAAAAATTCCTCCTCTGGCGCCAACCATAGGGCACTAGTCCTCCCCTGGCGCCCAATTCCTCCCCTGGCGCCAACCATGGGGAACTATTTCCTCCCAACGCCAACCATGGGGCAGTATTCCTACCCTGACGCCAACCAAGGGGCACTATTCCTACCCTGACGCCAACCAAGGGGCACTATTCCTACCCTGACGCCAACCAAGGGGCACTATTCCTACCCTGACGCCAACCAAGGGGCACTATTCCTACCCTGACGCCAACCAAGGGGCACTATTCCTACCCTGATGCCAACCAAGGGGCACTATTCCTACCCTGATGCCAACCAAGGGGCACTATTCCTACCCTGACGCCAACCATGAGGTGTTTTTAACAACTTCCACTGACTAAAGCTGCTAGGTCATTTTTCTCTTTACTTCCACTAACCATCAAACCTGAGGTATCATTTACTCCCCCCTGACTGAAAGGGAAATTTTTTATGCCTACCACCTCACCTAATGTTTAAAGGACAGTAAACCTTTGTTTGAAAAGTTTGATGACCTCTTGGTGTAAAACATGGAATCTGTTCTAGACAAAATCCCTATTTGTCACTTATTGTTTAGATAGGAGTCCTTTATGAAGAACCCTCCACCATACCTGCTATAGAATATTATAAAGAATGTTAATAGAAGGAGTTGAACCACACAAACATCAGCAGGGACACCCAAACCTCCCACGTGAACAGCAGCAGAGTCGGGAAATATGGCAGGGAGATCTTGCTGTGAACTCTATACTAAGCATAAAAAATTCAGCCCACCTGGCTCTACCTATAGCTAAAACCAAGAATCCTCTACAAAAAATAAAACATTCCTGTCACTTAGTTATATATTATTGTAATTGATAGTTGCACTCCATTCTCCTGTTATCCATCTCTTGTACAGCTTGGAGGTATACCTTTTAGAGAGCCGATCATCCGTGGGCAGTTTTCACTCAGATATTCCTTGAGTGATTCCCAGGCAGCCTTCAGCTTGGCATAGTGATGTATATAGCGCCCCATATCCAAGTAATACGCCATAAATGTTGCCTTCCAGCTTCTGTTCTTTTTCTTGTCACTTGAACGAGAAAATATTAAAGTAGAAATATAAGAAAAAACAGAAATTAACCACTTTCCGTCTGCCCTGTAGAAGATGTACTGCTACAGGGCCGACGTTCTATGCAAAATCACGTATAGAACCGTGATTTTGCATTTCCATCACAGGGGGTGGGACAAAAAAAAAAAAAAAACAAACTATAGGCAGGTTGTATTCAAGTCTTTTGATAAATCACCTTTAGTACAACCAGCCTGCCCATAGATGGATCCAATTTTTCGATCTGTCCATGGCCGGCTTAAGGCTAGGTGCACACCTATGCAGTTTGCATTCGATCCATTTCCGCAGTGCGTTTTGTATTACGGTTTTTGCGGGCTTTTTTTTTTTTTAATATTTATTTTTCAGAAAAACACAGCAAAAATGCACTACCGTATTTTTTCCGGCGTATAAGACGACCCCCTACTTTTCCTGTTAAAATATAACATGAGCTATACTCGCCGTATAAGACTACCCCTCTTCCAACGCACACCAAATAAAAATGAAAAAACATCAGATTTGATTTCAATATGGTATGCTATTTCAGTATGGTATTCCAATGATGGGGTGCTATTCCTCCCACTGACACTAAAGATGGGACACTACTCCTCCCACTGACACCAATGATGGGGCACTACGCCTCCCACTGACACCAATGATGAGGCACTACGCCTCCCACTGACACCAATGATGAGGCACTACTCCTCCCACTGACACCAATGATGGGGCACTACTCCTCCCACTGACACCAATGATGGGGCACTACTCCTCCCACTGACACCAATGATGGGGCACTACTCCTCCCACTGACACCAATGATGGGGCACTATTTCATCCACTGACACCAATGATGGGGCACTATTCCTCCCACTGATACCAATGATGGGACACTATTCCTCCCACTGACACCAATGATGGTGCCCCATCATTAGTGTCAGTGTGTGAGGAATAGTGCCACATCATTAGTCAGTGGGAGGAATAGTGCCCCATCATTAGTCAGTGCGAGGAATAGTGCCCCATCATTAGTCAGTGGGAGGAATAGTGCCCCATCATTGGTGTCAGTGGGAAGAATCGTCCCCCAACACAGGAAATCATGTTAAATGGACTATAGTGTGTTTCTGAAAAATGCTGAGGAAAATGCTTAGGTGTGAACCTAGGGTAAGGGAGGGTTATAACTCATCAAGTTTTTTTGCCATGTAACCCATTGGGGAGACTGCCCTTCACTTCCTGTCCCAACAGGAAGGAAAGGAACCAGCAAACACAAATGCTCCTGCGCTTGGGGATGGACTCGATGCAGGCTACAACCACATTAAGAACGTCCTGGAACATGCACAGCTTGCTGCCCTCAATAGACCGGGGAAATCCAAATATACTGAATGAGGAAAGAACAATGAGAGGGCGCACAGGCCTAGTGCATTACCATAAAAAATGTTTAATAAGAAATAAAGTAGGTGTTGTGCTCACAAAGGACAATAAAGTCAAGGCACGTCATAAAAGAACAGCTGGGTCAACACCGCGCTGAGTAACAGTCCGCAATAGGGAGTGTAGACATCCAATAAGCTGACGCGTTTCGAGGACTTGCCTCTTCCTCAGAGCCAGTGGCTCGGAGGACAGCCCATTGGATGTCTACACTCCCTATTACGGACTGTTACTCAACGCGGTGTTGACCCAGCTGTTCTTTTATGACGTGCCTTGACTTTATTGTTGTTTGTGAGTATAACACCTATTTTATTTCTTATTAAACATTTTTTATGGAAATGCACTAGGCCTGTGCGCCCTCTGTTTGTTCTTTCCTCATTCAGGAAGAAAAGGAAACCCCTCCGAAGTGAGGGAATCCCTGGTGGTCATCGGAACTAGTGTCCTCATTTGAAGATTTTCCCAAAAGTTCCATTCAGATGATCACTCAAAATTTGGTATTTTCTCTCTCTTTCGGTGAGAACAGTCACCAGGACAATTAAGAAGGATGAATCAGACAGCAATAATCCCTCTCCACTGAAAATGTGTTTTCAATTATACTTGCTTTGTGCAGCAATGGCCATTCCATTTGGTAAAGAAGTTTACTTTGACTTTAAGTAGTTCATTTGAGCCAAGCTGGCCCAAACATATTTCCATGCAAGAACGGTCTTGGCACTGTCACAGACTACAGTAGCATTAGTTACATACAGTAAATGCAGCTTGTGTCCCGCTAAGCCACATGCAGTAACAGGAGTGGGAGGGTAACCAGCCGATGCAAAAAACCATCATCATCTGCACTCATGTCAAGACTTCTTCGCAGCATCAAACAGTTTTCTTATTCAATGTATTTTTTAAAAGTAAAGTTCCAGCTTTCAGTTTACTTTAAATAGTTTGTTTGGGCAAACTTGGCTCAAACTATTTCCATTACACACACCGAGGTTGATTTACTAAAGGCAAAAAGACTGAATTCTGAAAGCGCAGTTGCTCCAGAGCTTTGTAAATGAGGTAAAGCTCTGCGGACTTCCATTATCCAATCATGTGCAAGCAAAATGCTTTTTTTTTTGTTTTTTTTCTTCCTTGTATGTGTTTGGGTATTCTTGGTAAAGTGAAGCTTTATGTCTTTTACTAAGCTGTAGAGCAACTGCACTTGCAAAGTGCACAGTCCCATTTGTCTTTAGTAAATCAACCCCATTGATGCAGCTGCTGTGTGGGCTGCAATGTACCAATCTTGTCTCCAAATATCACCAAAACCATCCTCTCCGCTCCTCACACGACCTCCTGCTCTCTAGCTCCCTTGTCTCCTCCTCCCATGCTCGTCTCCAGAGCCTCCCCCATCCTCTGGAACTCTCTACCCCAATCTATCAGACTATCGCCTACTCTGCCCACTTTTAGGCGATCTCTGAAAACCCATCTCTTCTGGGAAGCCTATCCTGCCTTCAGCTAATAATGGAATCTTCTACTCTTCCTACCAGTCCATCCCCCACAGTTACTACCTTTTGTACCACTAGCCCCTCCCTCTTAGATTGTAAGCTCCAAGGAGCAGGGTCCGCCTAACCCTCTTGTATTGAGCTGTATTGTTGCTGTATCGTCTCCCTTTATATTGTAATTAAATTTGCATAGCAGAGCCATACAAAGCAATGTGCTTACAGTGAAACACAGCCCAAGTAGTGAAACAACACACAGTTAATCCTTTGATTTCCTCATGTTAAGCCCTTCCTGCCCAGTGCCATTAGTACAGTGTCAGTGGCTTTTATTAGCATTGATCACTGTATTGGTGTCACTGGGGATGTCAGTGACACCAAGTCAGTTCCCTCCCCCAGTGTCAGAATGTCAGCTGCAGTCCCGCTATAAGTTGCTGATCGCCTACATTGCTAGTAAAAAAAAAAAAAAAAAAAAAATTAAAATCCAGTATATATACCGCCATTTGTAAACGCTATAACTGGGGCAGCACAGTGGCTAAATGGTTAGCACTTCTGCCTGGCAGTACTAGGGTCCTTGGTTCGAATCCCAGCCACGGCACCACCTGCCTGGAGTTTGCATGTTCTCCCTATGCCTGCGTGGGTTTCCTCCTGGTACTCCGGTTTCCTCCCACACTCCAAAGACATGCTGGTAGGTTAATTGGCCCCTGTCTAAATTGGCCCTAATATGTGTATGTATGAATGTGAGTTAGGGACCTTAGATTGTACGCTCCTTGAGGGTTAGGGACTGATATGAATGTACAATATATATGTAAAGCGTTGCGTAAACTGACAGTGCTATACAAGTACCTGAAATAAAATAAAAAACTCAAAAACCAATTAATTTACATGTATTGGGATTTTTTCCTCAGCAAAGACATGGAGCAGAATACATTTTGGCCTAAAATTTATGCCGAAAATTGATTTTAAATTTTTTTTTACTGGACATGTTTAATAGTAAAAAAGTAAAAAAATGTGCTTTTTTCTCAAAATTGTCGGTCATTTTGTTTATAGCACAAAAAATTAAAAACCGCACAGGCAATCAAAGAAAGTTCTATTTGTGGGAGAAAAAAGTAAATTTCATTTGGGCGCAGCGTTGCATGACCGTGCAATTGTCAGTTAAAATAATGCAGCGCCGTATCGCAAAAAATAGCCTGGTCAGGAAGAGGAGGGGAAATCCTCCGGAGGGCAATTGGTTAAAATCCAGCAATACAAAGAATATCGATTTCCACTAATTCATAGTAGCAAACATTTTGGAGCTCCTTTTCAAGTTCAGAGTAGATATTCCTAGAACCTCTTTAGAACTAAAAGACATGATTGGTTACTTGTCCTATTTCCTTCACAGCATTGCGTAGATTACAAAGATGCTCAAAATTGCATGTTCTCCCTGTGCCTGCGAGGGTTTCCTCCGGGTACTCCGGTTTCCTCACACACGCCAAAGACATGCTGGTAGATTAATTGGCTCCTGTCCAAATTGGCCCTAGTATTATTATTATTATACAGTATTTATAAAGCGCCAATGGTTCGCTCAGCGCTGTACATTACAAAGGGGGACAGAACATGTGACAGAACAACAATACAATGCAAAACATGAGGGGATCGAGGGCCCTGCTCTTTGGAGCTTACAATCTAGGAGGGAGGGGATGGTGGTACAGGAGGAAATAGCTGTGGGGGATGGAGTGGTAGAAAGAGTGGAGGTCGTCGGTCAAGTTAGCAGGGGGTCGGATAGGCTTCCCTGAAGAGATGGGTTTTCAGGGTGCGCCTAAAGGAGAGAAAAGAGTAGGTGATAGTCTGTTGGGTTGGGGCAGGGAGTTCCAGAGGATGGGTGACACCCTGGAGAAGTCCTGGAGGCGGGCATGGGAGGAGGAGACCAGGGAACTAGAGAGAAGGAGGTCTTGTGAGGGGCGGAGTGTGCGTGCTGGGTGGTACTTGGATATTAGGTCAGTATGTGTATGTATGAATGTAAGTTAGGGACCTTAGATTGTACACCCCTTGAGGGTTAGGGACTGATGTGAATGTACAATATATATGTAAAGCGCTGCATAAATTGATGGTGCTATATAAGTACCTGAAATAAATAAATACAGTTGTCATTCACAGGACACACAGTATACTTACTCGGACACAAGCCAATACTTCCGGCACGGTCGCTTCCATAGGGGATCATGGTTGGACAGCTGGTTGAGTCTTCGGTTAACAAGACTGCAGCTACAAGAAAGAATCGTACGTAAGTATACAGATTCAGATTATGTCGTGTTAGATTTCCAGCATACATTGGGGGAGCAGTTTGTGTCATTTTAATTTGCTACCTACAATCCCACCATCATTGGTTGTTTGGTACATGGATCTCTTCTGTAAGAGGAAATACAGAAAGAGAAAACTAAAAAATGGAAAAAGTAAAAGAGGGTGTGCAAGGGAGACCTAAAGATTAGGTAAAAACTCAAAACATTTTCTGAAAGCAGATTCTTTAGAATAAAACGGTGGTAGTTCCAATATTATGTCACGGGGTATTAGCACAATGGTTTACGAATCGTTTATTTTCAGTAAAAAAAAACAAAACACACTATTGTTTTTTATTTTAAGGTACACAAAATGCAACATATTACCCAATCTTTTTATGTAAAATACGAGGTTATACCGAGTAAATGGACACCCAACATAGGCAGCACAGTGGCTAAATGGTTAGCCCTTCCGCCTGGCAGTACTCGGGTCGTTGGTTCGAATCCCAGCCATGGCACCACCTGCCTGGAGTTTACATGTTCTCCCTGTGCCTGCATGGGTTTCCTCCGGGTACTCCAGTTTCCTCCCACATTCCAAAGACATGCTGGTAAGCGAATTGGATCCTGTCTAACTTGTCCCTAGTATGTGTATGTATGAATGTGAGTTAGGGACCTTAGATTGTACACCCCTTGAGGGTTAGGGACTGATGTGAATGTACAATATATATGTAAAGCGCGGAGTAAACTGACGGCGCTATATAAGTACCTGAAATAAATAAATGTCAAGCCTGTCAAATGGTTTGCGCTGTGAAATGACAAACTTTGGTCCCACAAATTTTCCATAGACGCCACTTTATAGGCTATTACAGTTCATCAGTTTAGACTTAACCTGGCTCTAAAGGCTGAAAGTTTACTTTAAATTCATGCATGAAAGTAAAAAACCTTCCGGGTGCAGCCCCCCCTTATACTCACCTGATCCCAATCTTCATCCAGTGATGTGCACGAGAGCAGCGGCTCACCTGACTCTCTCCCTTCTCATTGCCTCAGAGACAGCAGAAGGAGCCCATTGATCAAGCTGCTGTTAATCACAGCCAATAAGGAAATGGGGGGTTTGGGATGAGCCTCGCTCTGTCAATGGACACAAATAGTGAGCCTGGGAGCAAGCACGCGTAAGTGACCCCAAAGCTGACGGCTTGCTATGGGGGCACTCAACAGGGGGCCAGGAGCACAGGCGGGGAACCTGAGCAGAGAAGGATAGGGGCTGCTCTGTACAAAACCATTGCATACAACAGGCGAGTTTAACACTTTTATTATAATTTTTTTTTTAAAAACTACCTTTAGTATCACTAACGCTTTCGCAGCCAGGTCTGTGCATCATATGGACCTGACGGGGGAGGGGGGGCTGGGTTTATACACGATCCCAATGGCTGCAGGCACTGGGATTGTGTATAAAATGGGCAGGCGGGTCAGGTAGAAGCAGTCGGGCGGCTGCGCTGACACCCCATCGCTTCCACAGCCCTCGGTAACAAGACACCCCACACACGTGCACTCCGTCATGAACAGGGGCCCCCCTTGCCCATCTGTGAACCCGGGGGAGCACCATGGCAGGTGCCAGTGGATTGAGGCTGTAATTAGAGCAAAAGGAGGTTCACCAAAATACTGACGCAAGGGGGTGTCCTTTTTCCAACTCAGTGATTCCATTTATGAATTTTTAATTTTTTTCTGACCTGTTGGTGTTATATCTTTTACTTGGATGTTATACATTGCAAATACAGCTGGATAAAACAAAAACTGTGTCCGTCTTCAATTTAGGCTGCAAAGCAACAAAAATGTGATTTTAAAGGGGGTGATCCTTTTCTTTTTGTCTGCTGCCTTTGCCGCTAAGGTGGAGCAGTTAGTGGGTGGTAGAAATGCTGCTCAACTGCATGTTTTTACTGAACCTCCCCCCTCCCAATTGCGAGTGTAAAAAAGTATATCACCAAAAATGACATTTCTGTTGTCAAGGATGCCTTAACTGACTTATCTCAGTGCAGACACCATTACGACCTTCTAGCCACCAACCAATGACATCATCAGTTGATAAGGAGGATGTCAGCTTCTTGCACAGCATCCTAGTTTGCCCCTCTCCTGCCTCTCCTCTCATCAGTCCTGGGGTCACATTAGCTCAGTGATGGATAAAAACTGAGGGAGAGGAGAAACACTGGAATACTAGTCAGTACCAGCGTGTAAAAGTGTGTTTACCTCTAACGTTGGGTGTCCTACATGTGTGGATGTTGCTGTGTTATATAAAACTATTAGAATAGTTTTTTCACATTTCAGGGTTCCCTTTTAAAATAATGAACAGTCTTAAGGGACCCCATTTTAGAATGGGGTGTCTCAAGACTGTCAATTTTTTTTTGTTTACAACGATTTTTATTGTACATAAGTAGACAGTAAAACAACAGCACAATATGAAAGTGATATTTGTCAACAAAAATATGGCACATTTGAACCGTACAATACATAAAAGTATATTAACATAAAAAAGAAGATAAGGAAGAAAGAAAGTTATGAGTGCATGAGATACATAAATGATAAAACAGATTGAGTGATACAGCTATCAACAATATATGCCAGCCATTCTTTACCGGGGATGTTGTCAATCATGCAAATAATGTCTACAATCCTTCCATGACTCCCATTTTTTTTTATCGTATAAGTGCATCTTATCCAGTAGTGTATAATGAATACGTTCCATAAGCATTACAGCGTCAATTCTGTGTAAAACAGAGTCCAAGGGTACAGCATTAGACCGCCAATGCAGGGTAATGGACCACAAAGTGGCAATATACATAATGTAGGTGTAGCAATCTCAGAGTGGCATCAGAGACCCCTGGGATTTGAACCCCCAATAAACAGGTCTGTATAGACAACTGTATCGGGTTGCCCGATAGTGAGGTAGCCACCTCAGATATCTTACGCCAGATCAAAGATATGTTTGGGCAATCCCAAAACATATGGACCAAAGTACCTGTGCGGCCACAGCCCGGAAACATAAAGGGGATGTTTGTGGGGAACATGTATGTAGTCTGGACGACTGAGTATAATAATACCATCTGGTTAAAACTTTAAGGGCGTCTCACGAACCGAAAGAGATCTAGAGCTCTTGCATATATTATCCACCATGGAGTCCCAATCCTCATCCGAAAAAGTGATACCACAATCCTCCTCCCACCTCTGCCTGTACATAGGAGGAGCATGAAAAAGACAGATCAAAAAGTTGGTGATAAAGATCTGAAATAAGACCCCTACCACTAGGAGAGTCACGGCTGACACGCTCAAAAAAAAGAGATCGGAGAGAGACGGGGTTAAGGCCAAAGTGTGCGCATTAAAAAAAGTGCCTAATCTGTCTATAACGAAGGTACTCACGAAGAGGAACATCAATTAGCACGCGCAGCATATCGAAGGTAATATAAGATCCTCCTCTTTGGAAATCAGACAATCTGATAAAGGATCGATCATACCACCAACGAAACATGTGAGGGGAAGAGAAGGCTACCACAAAAGTAGGATCACCAAAAAATGAAAACACCTGGGGGAATATGAGAGACTAAACTCAGCTTAGCTTGTATTTGGACCAAAGTGTCAGTGCGTGGGTCACTATAGAGTTATGAAAAGTAAGCGATCGGGGGGAGATTTTAGACCATAAAATTCCCGGTAAAATAAAAAGGACGTATCGACTGAGACTCAAACTTAATCCATGGGATTTGAGAGTTAATAGTAGCCCATTGTGATAATTGCGCAAAACGAGCCGAGAGGTAATATAGCCAAAAGTTGGGAAGACCAAGACCCTCCCGTCCGTTGTGAGCGATATAAAATGGATGAGGCAAAACGTGGATGCTTATTTCCCCAAATAAAATTGTTAATAATCCGCTGAAAATGATCCAAAAACGTTTTTGAAACCGGAACTGGAAGTGCTCTAAAAAGATAAAGCAGTTTGGGCAAGATATTCATTTTAACCGCCGTGACTTAACCCAGAAAGGAGATATGATAACCATGCCAAATCTTCAGTAGAGTAGAGAGACGTGACACACATGGTGGATAATTAGCCACAAACACATCAGAGTATCTGGGAGCAAGATTAATCCCCAAATAGGATATCCTGTCCTTGACCAGCGAAATGGAAAAGAACTACGGAGAGATGCACTTAGGGAGTCCGGAACATTAACAGGCATAATAATTACCGATTTGGTAAAATTAACAGTGAGGCCTGGACACTTTAGCAAAATCATTCAAATCGCTACGACACACAAATTGGGCAAAGAAGTCAACGGGTTAGTAATAAAAAGCATAACATCATCAGCATACATGCTCAGCTTAAAGTGTGAAACTAATAACGAATAGCCAGAAATATCCGATTGTGATTTGATCGCCAATGCCAAAGGTTCCAACACCAGCGCCGCAAAACAAAAGGGGCGCGAAAGAGGACAACCCTGACGGGTACCTCTACCCAATGTAAAAAAGTCAGAGTTACAGCCAGGAAGCCTTATTCTTGTTTTAGGAGAGTCGTATAGGGCATGTATGCCTGCCAAAAAACCCATCACTGAAGCCCACTTTCTGTAGCAAAGAGAACAAGTAGGGCCAAAGGACACTGTCAAAGGCCTTGTTTATGTCTAAACTCATCAACAGAACCTCTTTGGAATGTAAATTGGCATCTTGGATAAACGTTTAGAGTGAGACGAATGTATCAGTAATAAATCTGTCGGGAATAAAACCCACGACTGGTCTGGAGATACCAAAGAGGAGATAATAGGAGCCAACCTGTTCGCAAAATGCGGCTAATTATCTTCAGATCGTTTATTCATTACTGAGAATTGGTCTATAGTTTTGCGGCAAACAGTGGTCTTTCTGTGGCTTGGTATTAGGGGACATGTTAGCTAACAACATCTCGGGGGGAATTTACCCCCCTGTAAAAACATCATTAAATAGTGTTATCAAGTATGGAGCCTT